AAATTTGTCTTAAATCTCATTTTGTTAAAAAAAATCATGACTCGAATCAAATCGCGAAATCAAAATCGTGAATCAAATCGAATCGCGATTTGAGTGAATCGTTACATCCCTAATATTGATCTATGAAAATTTTAGCTGTTAAAGGCAGGTGAAATGAGAAACGTTTACCACTTTTAAGGTCATTAATGGTTTTTTGCATTATTTAATTAAATTAATAATTCTATAGCGGCAGCAGCCAGTAACAGCATTTTATTTATTTGCAAAGACATTTTCATTTGCATATGACCAGTGTTAATTCAGGATCCACCATTAAAGTGAAACAAAATAATTCATGCTGAAATGATCTATGAAGGTCAGTGCGAAATGATCACAGAGTGCTACGAATAAACCTCAGCACTCATGTCTAATGCAAGGAATTTTCAGAAACATGCAGAGCTGGAGGTGCTACATTTAGTCAGGAATCTGAACACTAAAAAGGTATTGTTGCTGCAAAACTTTTCAAATTCATTGAAAAGATGTCAATAGTCCATAAATGACCAATAAATATGCACGGAGAAGGAGGTTTTGAGTTTTGAAAGTTACAGCTTTATCATAATAAAATTTACTTAAATTAATATAATAAAGTTACAGCTTTTAAAAGCTGCTTTTGAAAAAAGCACTGAAAATAAGAACAGGCAAATCTCAAAACAAACTATTTTAAAATGTATAGCTTAATTTTACAAAAGATTTTACCAAAGCACCCAAGTGCAACAGGGCATTAACTAGTAAGTAGTAACAACTTAATAACATCAGCAAATTTAGCAATACTGTAAAGAGTAGGATATTTCCAAAATACAACACAAATTAAAAACTAAATCTTTTAAGTCTTCAAACTAATCTAATCTATCAGTCTTTTTCAAACACCTCAGGAAAAAAATGCCCACACTTGGAAACATCAATACATGTCAGCATCACCTGCCATAAACCAATCAATGCTACTTACAACTGCTCATGGGTCAAAATGATTCAGACTTCTGAAATCAAGTCGTTTTTCATATCCACATAAATTGCAAATGTCCTTTTATGTTATGTAAGGATGATGCTGGAAAGTCCTCTATTGCAGACAGCTCAGAATTTCAAAGCACAGATTCGGATTGCATCAGTCTACAAGGTGTGATGTCAAAGCTTAACATGAGCTCTGTGCTGGTTCAGCTTTGAATCAGACTGCATTCAAGCTTTCAGTGCATGTGTTTCACTGTATTAGCTAAGGGAATTTCTGAAAAAGTACCCTCTAATATAGAAAATATATTTAGCAAGGATGGTGCTTATTACTAAAAACAATCTGTTGTACTAAGTGTTCTACATGTCTTCTACCCTGTAATTGGCATTTCATAAATTTTTAGTAAAAGGTATTTTAGTTTAATACTAAAAATGTCTACCTTCAGTTAATGATACACATGTATGGTTGCTTAGATTTTTTTATATTGTTAATAATAGGGATGCACAAAATTATCGGACCGATATCGGAATCGGCAGATAATGGCTTGAAATGTACATATCGGCATCGGCCCGATATGAAAAATTATGTTGAAATGTCTTGCCGATAAGAGGAATACATTAACTCACATGTGCTCAGGGTGTGCTAGCGATTAGATCACGTCAGCAGTGTGGCTCATTCTTGAAGCAAAGTTTTGCCTGAATGATGATTAGATTCACTGTTGTGTTATTTACTTAACCAAAATTAAAAATAATTTGCTTATAAATTTCCACACAGTAGAGATTTGGTGTTGTTTCCAAAAAAAGGAAATATATCGGTATCGGTATCGGCATCGGCTATCTGCCCAAGAGTTTAAAAATATCTGCATATCGGATATCGGAAAAAATCCAATATCGTGCATCCCTAGTTAATAACATTTCAACATTTACAGGACAGAAGCAATTTTACTTTATTATCCAGACAATTTTTTCCTGAAAAATTATGAAACTTTTTTTTTAATTATGAAACATTAATTATTAAAACATAAGCATCAAATATAGAGCCTGGTCTTTTGAGGATTGTTCATTTGTACATCTCTAAATCATCACTGTATTGCATTGTACACAAGTGGAGTTTGAAGAGCATTTACATATCACCTTACTAAGATATTGACTGACAACTCAGTTTTCAGTTATACAGATCTAAAAATGTCACTGATTTAAATTACAAGCGATCAGAATTCCATCTAACTTCTTGCCATGTAAATAACATCTGCACCAAATTTCAAGGTTTTTTTAATCTTCTAATATGAGCCATAAAAACCTGACGTATCAAATATGATACAAAACATGCAAGCTTTTCTAGATTTATTTTTAAAGTATTATTTCATATGTCTTACTTGGTTAATCTCTCATAATCAAAAGTGGACAAAAAGCACTCAGACACTTGAGTACATACAATTCAAATTAAGCAGTTCTTATTGTACTAAACGTTTTACTGTCGGGAGGAACAAGATGGAAAGGCGCGAGATAGCGGAGGAAACGCACGGCATCATGGGAGATTGAGTTTTTTTGTTGTTGTTTTTGGCCTTTGTGCTTAATGGCGCATCGTTCTGTAAATACTTAATAATAAAAAAATCAACAGTTTAATGCAGTTTAACAGTTTAATTCTGACATATGAAATAATAGTCTTTTTTTATGTAACAGTTTATTGAACCTTTAGTTATAAATATATATATTTAAAAGTTTGCATGTGTTTTATATTTTGTATCATATTTGATTCATTAGGCTTTTATGGCTCATGTAGTATGATACAGGAAGATATGTGGCTCATACATAAGGGGTGAAAACACCTCAAATTTATTCAGAGGCCCAATTTGATCAAAATATGCCAGCCTATTTGGTGCTGATATTTTTTATAACAGCATAAAATACTACTTACATGCATGTAATATCAGTTGTCACTTTTTATTTCCTAATATTATTGATCCTAATAATAATGAGATATTTGAATGTTTAGTTTGATGATCAAAGCTCTGTAGTTTTTATTGTGGGGGGAAATATATAATGCAATGAAATACAATGATGACTGAGAGATGTACAAATAAACATTCCTCAAAAGGCCGTTGTGTCATATTTGTTTCTTAACTTGAACATAGATAATGGAAAATGAAGTTGCTTCAGTCCAGTTAATGAGCTAATATTGAAATATTGCTAAAGTTTACCTCTTAAGTTTACCTTATAAAACTTATTAAAGATTTGACAGCAAAAAAGAAAAGCGTACCACAAATTGAAAGTATACTTTTTTTGTTGTTGCTTTTTTTACTTACTAAAAAAGTATGAATTAGCAGTAAGAACGCAGAAGGTTTTTCAAGCAAATTTCTGATCATGTTCATAATGTAGAGGCCATTAGAAATGAATGTATCATATATGATAAAGCAGGCTTTATATGGTTAATTATTTTGTAGTTCTTTAACTACTGGCATATACAAATAAATTATAACCTCTGGAATCATTTAATTTTCTTGTTTTTGGAACCACATTATTATTTGTGAGTGTAAACAATATAAAGTCTAAGTAAATATTTTGTCATTTGCACTGGTAGAGTTACTAAGTGCTCCCGTTAGGTGTCGCCACAGCGTAATCATCCGCAGCTGGCACGCGCGTCAACTTCCAGTCAACAAAAGCACATTTTTCTCAATAAAATAAATAAATTAAATTAAATTAAGCATTAGCCGCGTTCCTGCGGAGTAAAATATGTAATAAGGTTTGAAAAATGTATTGGTTCGCCTATTTTTCCCAGAAGCCTTTGCAAGCCTTGTTGTCGCAGCCTCGTTGGCGCAGTTGGCAGCGCGTCAGTCTCATAATCTGAAGGTCGTGAGTTCGAGCCTCACACGGGGCAAGGCAGCGTTTTAACTTCTGTAGTGAAAATCTTTTTCTGTAAAAAAGTAAATTACAAAGCTTGTCTGTACTTCAAATATAGATGAGGGTGACAGAAAGCTCGCAGAGAAATCCTATCAAAGGAAATATATAATTAAAGGCACAATATGTACGATTTTCTAAAATTAAAATATCCAAAAACCACTAGAACAGTGTTATATATTTTGCTGACACTATCCCAAATGTTTCGAAGAATGTTTAAATCCAGAGAAATAAGCAATTTTAACTAGTGACACGGAGCGTGTCATATTGTGGCCTGCCAATGACGTCATAACCCCTCCATTTCCGGTTTTGTTTTG